AACATAATTTAGTGTATCTATACTGTTGACATCTTTGCCGACAGTTTGTACAAGCTTAAACCTTCTGTCCAGAGCCTGACGTCTTAAATTATATATATTGTCATGCCTTAGTTACGTTACTAATATTTAATTATTTCTACTTAATGTAATTACTTAATGTTAACTATATTTTTGGATTTGCTTTTTTGATACTATTTATATTCTTTTAAATTTTATATGATTGATTGATTCTAATAAAAGTAAATGTTAACGTTCTCAATAACTTACATGTTGTCTTCACTTATAATCTGCTATAGCATTAAACTGTTTAGTTTGCGATGCTAAATATTTGAATGTTATAATGTATTCGACGGTAGAAATTTGAAATGTCGTATAGAATATTTTCCCGTACGACAAAATGTCCAATACATCCAAAATGTGACTTAAGACCTTTTAAAATTCTATACGATTTATTAAAATTCTTACCTTTCGATATCGACTGCGGAAATTTGAAATGTCATAAGTGAATTTTTTCAAAACAGACTTTTTGTTGTAATGGAAAATGTCCCATACCACTTTTCAAATTTTCAAGTAGTGGATAATATGCGTAGTCAACAAGCATGTTAGGCATGGATTTTATCTAAGTAAGTTCGCACATTTTCCAAGCATTGTGAATTTTCTTCAATGTACCAGATTTATCACGATGTTTTATTTCACCATACGTCCGAGCGGAAGCGACTTTATTGTACAGACAATAAAGCTTTTTCTGGTCAAGCCGATTTCTAGTTAATAAATGTGGTGACTCCCTTACCGTAGGTGAAGGTTAATGTTAAAATCGTACTTTTGCATAAATTCAGATATCTGATAATCTCAGTACAGAGTACTCAAAATACCGACCTCAAAAGTACGTAGAATTACCAAGTTTTATTGAAATCGGTTACCGGAAAGTGCGCAAACCCGGATTATTCATCCCCTAGTTCGCCACTACACGGAACTTGACACAGAAGATAATAAAAATCAGTTCTCACTACCAAAGTATATTGAGAGAGAAAAACGCCTTGAATTAAAGAATAGCAAAATCAACCATTAAAATAAATGCTCATTATACTAAAATTTAGGCGCTATTTATAAAAATGAATCTTCATGCGTGAACAGCCACCCTTAGAGGCGGATGATTTTCTTCAAAAGTAAATAGGACCACTATGGAGGTACCCTATTTCCAACAAAAAAAGAATCATGAAAATTGGTTCACAAATACCGGAAGAGTTAAAACATACAGTCGAATTGAGAACCTCCTCCTTTTTTAAAGTCGGTTAAAAAGTTGACACGTTTCGACACAGTACACGATTGATTGTTCTTCGGGTATCAAACACGTTACTATACTTTTAAATTTTTTAGTCTATCGAAAACTTGCATCCAAAATTTTTTCCATGAGAACCACCAGCTAACAAAATGTTGTACCCGTTACTTGCAACCTATACAGGGTTATTTTTAAAATATTAACAACCTTGCAGGCCTATATTACTAACATCATAAACAACAACTTTTGTTCCATGAGTTTTATTTTGCGTTCATACAAAAATAAATAGATCCAAATAGATCGTTCTAAACTGTAATAACTCTGTGCAGGCCGGGAATGGGAGTGGTCACAGAGAAGCGTCCTCCGCGTTTGAACATATTCTACCAAATACAGAACTAAAAAGTGCCAGATAGTGCAACAAAAGCTTTTTTCTTTTTGGTTTATAATGTTTCGTAAAAATCATGGAGCAAAAGTTGTTATTTATGTTGTTATTACAAATGTAGTCCCGCTAGGTTGTTAGCATTTAAAAAATAACCTTCTACAGCTCGCGAGCTGGCTTTCGTAATTTCTTAGCTGTAGTACACCATGCAAATACAAAGAGACATAATATAGAACTGTGGCGAAAAAAAGGGTGACTATGGGATCTGTTATCCCAAAACGTTGATCTGTTTGAAATTCAAATATACACGGCTTAGATCCAACAAAAAAGTTTCATTTCCAATAGCGAAAGCCTAAGAACTTGAACTGTCTGTTACACAATATGTTCACGTATATCTCTTTTCAAGTATTTAACCAAAGCGTTAGACCTCCATATATCAGACGTGGATTATCTTCTAGTCTACGTACAAGGCTAATTAATCTCTGACAAAGGGGCGAGATTCTAAGGAATGCTCACTCAGCGCTAACGACGTTGAGTTATATATGAAATTTATAGATAATTGGAAGACGCAATTCAGATAGAGTATTGTTTAATATAAACGCTGCTAAAGCATTATTCAACAACGCGAACGTTTTCTTATTTTGGGACAGTTTCTGAAATAAGTGAAACTAAAAGTAAAAGTGCACTGGGGATGGAAATGTTTGGAAGTAATCATTTACCGTACCAGTACCCTAGTAATCATTTAACATGAACTTGTATCTCGTGGGGATGGAATATACAATACTGCAGATGTTGAAGGGA